GGCCCCGCTCACCTCGTGCGGGCCGTACACGGCCGCCAGCACTTTGGTGTTGCCCTGCTCCAGGTAGGCCGAGCCGTCGGCCCTCGCCAGGACCCCGAGCCGGGCCCGCACCTTGCGCAGCTCGTCCGGCCGGCGCCCATCGGCCCGGAACCCCGCGTCCGACACCAGCTCCAGCCCCGCCATGCCGCCACCGCCGCCGGTTCTGCTCCCGGTGCTGCTCCCGCTCCCGGCGCCGCGTGAGGGGCCGGACTACAAATCCCGGCGTGCACCGCGCGCGGCCTTTGCTGCCTGTGCGCGTCCTGAGGGTGCGGACTACAAATCCCGGCGTGCACCGCGCGCGACCTTTGCTGCCCGCGCATGTCGTGTGGGGCCGGACTACAGCTCCCGGCGTGCACCGCGCGCGGCCTTTGGGGCCCGCGCGTGCCCGCCAATAGGAGGCACCGCCCCCTGTGACGTAATCATCATGCCAGGCCGAGCCCCCAAATCAACCATGGCGCCGCCGTCGAGGTCACGCCCCCTTTTAGGCCCCGCCCTATCCAGCAGAGACCACGCCCCCGCGGAACCCGCCCCCAAGCAAGCCCCGCCCCCTCGGCCGTTTGGCGGCGGCGGCACCGAAGGGGACCGGGCCGGACCGGGCCGGACGGGGCGGGACCGGAGCGACCCCAGCGGCCCCTGGCGGAGCGGCAGCGGCGCCCGGGACCCTCCTGGGGCACGGCCGAACCTTCAGCGGGCGGTACCGACCCGGGAGCGGGCACCGAACCTTTCCCGGACAGCCCCGAACCTTCCCCGAGCAGCACCGAACCTTCCCCAAACGGCCCCGAACCTTCCCGGGACAGCCCCGAACCTTCCCGGGACAGCACCGAACCTTCCCGGGACAGCCCCGAACCTTCCCGGGACAGCCCCGAACCTTTCCCGAACGGCTCCGAACCTTCCCCGAACAGCCCCGAACCTTCCCGGATAGCCCCGAGCCCTGTCCGGGCCGTACCGGGCGGTCCCGAACCTTCACCGGACACCGCTGACCCGTGTCCGGACAGCCCCGACCTTGTTCCGGCCCGTCCCGGCCCCGTGACCCATCCGTGCCCGGGGGTCGCTCCCGGTGCCGCTCCCGGTGCCGGTGCCGGTGCGGCCATGGCGGCTCCGCTCGCCCCCTCCGGTTTCCAGTTCGCCATCGACCGTGGCGGGACCTTCACCGATGTGTTCGCCCGCTGTCCCGGCGGCCGCGTGCGCGTCCTCAAGCTGCTCTCCGAGGACCCCGCGTACCGGGACGCGCCCACCGAGGGCATCCGGCGGATCCTGCAGGAGGTGAGACCCCCGGGACCACCGGGGACCGCCCCGGGACCACCGGGNCCGGGACCCCCCTCGAGTGCCCTGCTGGGACCCCCAGGACCCCCCCCCAGGAACCCCGGGATCCCCCAAGGGAACCCAAGGGAAACCCCGCATGGGGGGATTTTGGGGCTGGGGTCCCCCAGGTGAATTTTTGGGGTCTCTCAGGTGAATTTTTGGGGTCCCACAGGAGCTGGGGGTGCCCCTGCCCCGGGACCAGCCCCTGGAAAGTTCTGGCATCCAGTGGATCCGCATGGGCACCACGGTGGCCACCAACGCTCTGCTGCAGCGCCGGGGAGAGCGCTCGGCCCTGGCCGTGACCCGCGGCTTCCGACACCTGCTGCACATCGGCACCCAGGCCAGGCCGCACCTGTTCGACCTGGTGAGTGCACCTGGGATACACCTGGGGGCACCTGGGCACACCTGGGCACACCTGGGATACACCTGAACCCCCAAACCCACCCCCAAACCCTGCTGCACATCGGCACCCAGGCCAGGCCGCACCTGTTCGACCTGGTGAGTGCACCTGGGATACACCTGGG